ATTCCGTTTTATATGAATTCCATGTTGTACGAGTCACTTAGATTTTACAAATACGTGTACCGGGCTGTGAACGGCTCACGTATTTGTAAAATTTAAGTAACTCGTACAACATGGAATTCATATAAAACGGAATAATCAACAGTGTTATAGGGGGTCGACTGTATATGTTAATAAAGAAATGTATATACTCATATATCAGTGTATAATCAGTATATATCAGTGTATAAAATTTTCTTAACTTGGTAAAAGCAATTTTATGTTAGTATATAATTTTTAAATTATTTATTTTAACATATTGATCGATAACATTTTTGTAATTTATTCCTTATAATTAATTTAAACCACGGAATTTTATAGTTTGATTTCGTACGTAAGTTTTAAGTTCTTATCACTTAAAAACTTGTTATTGTTTAAGAATTCGATTTTCGCTGTAATGATTCTGCGAAATTCAACTCGTATACATTTCTCAGTATCGTTTTCTCAAAACAGCTCATTGGTTAAGTAAGTGTTACAGTGTCTGCATACAGTATTCTTTATGACTGACTGGTTAACTAAGTTAAACATAGTGGACAGGTTATAAATTATTCATATTACACACGATCCTTTTTATCTTCCCATCCTTCACCTTTACTCACCAAAATTTAATAGCATCAATCCCTATAATAAACAAACCTCCCTGAAAAATTTCAGAAATTTTCGACTAAAAGCACAGGAGTTAAGCTTCAGAGGGTGAACAAAATCGTTCCCCACACACACACACACATCCATACATACAGAAATTACCCCCAAATTTCTTTTTGCATTTCTTGACGTTTCAAGGTCCTCGAGTACAAAAATGTAAAAATCTTAAGGGTCAGTTTTTGACGATCGCCATACTTTTCCTCTGTTATATGTAACAGCTGGAAAAGCAAAAATAGAATCGAAATGACAATATTTTTCGTTTTGGCAGAAAAATCCTCTTTGATACTGAGTAGCCGAATGGTTAAAATCACTGAACAGTAGTAGTTGTCATAGTTTTTCGCCTCGCCAACGAATTGGCTTTGTGGTTTTGTGGTTCTTTACCTAATATAAATAGGAGACAGTTTCCCATAAAAGTGTTCCTGGGTGAACCTCCCCTTGGTAGATCGCCCTTGTATTGGATTGTCTCATACCATCAATACAATCTTTGTTATAGTTCCATGATTGAGAGAGAAACTGTAGTACATTATAAAAATATGAACCGTATCTAAAATTACAATGGGAAATAGTAGAAGAAATTGAAATTGAGAAATTTCTTATAAACGTAGAGAATAAACTTCTATTAAATATTATATATAAAAGTATCGAGATGTTGCATTTAAAAAAGAAAAAAAAATGTTGGTTAAATATTTTTTCTGAAATATTATTCATGGATATATCTCTGTTTATATCAGATGTATTAATTTATTTATGACTTAGTTAAAAATATTAATTTATTAATATCTATTTAGACTTTTTTTCAAATCTTTCATATCACATAATATTACAGATGCGTGTTAAATTAATTATTTATGATGTAAATTTAATTCAATTTTACTAAAGAAATTTTTTCAAATAATTACAGCTTAATACATTATATAAATATATTAAAATAAAATAATAATTATTGACGAGATCCTACAGTTTTTGTATGGATAAATACGTTCAAAAATACGTACAGGTACTGTACAAGTAGACCCCCCCTATAACACTGTAGATAATTCCGTGTTATATGAATTCCTTGTTGTACGAATCACTTAGATTTTACAAATACGTGAACCATTCACAGCCCGGCACACGTATTTGTAAAATCTAAGTGACTCGTATAACATGGAATTCATATAACACGGAATTATCTACAGTGTTATAGAGGTGTCGACTGTACTTAACTATTGGTCTCTTTATTCAATGCATTTTTTATTCATTAATGAATTAGTTAAAGCATATATCTGCATATAGTTATTCCTTGATATATTATTTCCCTGAAAAGCATTGTAGATTCTTCTAATTATGTATTGATTGCTAATGCTATCATTATTTAATAGTCTAATTTTTACTAGTTGTGGTTATTTTGTTTATAATTAACACTAGTAGCCCAGGACGTCTTCTAGTGGGTGTTGTTTACAAATTTCCATGAAGCACGGTTCCTTTGACTTTTTTGTTCCTATCAATATGCTCCACAGCTCTGTTAAAATCCCAACGGTAAGGTTAGATGAAGAGGTGGCGATCCCCAAACTGTAGCCCCCTGTGCAAACAATAAAGGCAAAGGAGCCATACCCCTACTCGCAACCCTTCGCGAGATATAAGCCCCTGAAATAATAAATTCCTATTACAAATATACTGAATTATTTATATTGTTATATTGACCAAATAATAATTTATTGGCCAAATGAATAATAATAATTCATATTGTTAATTTAAATAACAATTAAAATTGTTAATTTGAATGTTTGAAATATGACACACGATAGGGGCGCCTCTAGTGTCCGTTATCAAACGGTTACGGGACGGATGGATGGACGGACGGATACCCGTTGAATGGGTTATATGTATAGATTATATGTAGAACTTTGGAAGATCATTACTTATAAATTGAAAAATTTGAGACCAGCCATAAATATAAGAATAAGGAATAGCATAAAATAAAAATGTATTTCTTAAATTGTTTTATTTTATGCTATTCCTGTTTTTATGAGGTCAAATATGATTGCAGATTGAAAATATTTTATGTAAAGATGCTAAAATGTATCAAAGTGGTGTATTTGCTGTTGCTGGATTGTTTCAAGCTGCAATCAACAGAAATAGTTTTTNATAATGATAATAATAATAATAATAAATAATAAACTATTCATTATTTAAAAAAGTTTAATTTTAAATAATTTATTGAATTATAAAATTTTCTTATAACAAACTATGGAATATCAAATAAATTTACCTTTGTATGTCTATCGTTCCAGACCTGTTTATCAGGCAATGTCTTCCGTTCTTTTTAAAACAATATTTGATATATGATTGGTTCAAGTTCGTATCACATGATGTACGATTACCAGTTACTTTTTTCTACAAATTATCTGACGTACTTTAAAGTTATGTAATTTAAAAAAAAAAGACAATGAATCTTAAACTTCAACCAATAATTCTAGTATAATAAAAACAATTGATTCTAAATGATCGCCTTTAATTTCAATTCCATTAATTTCATTCATAAACAATTCCAATTTATTAATATAAAACTGATCAGTCAGATTTTATAAATAATATTAACTTACTTGATCNCTTACAGTATAAAAGTATTAATTCTTAAAAATTAGTTCATGAAATAGACTAACTTAGTAATTATTAAGAAACAAATCTTAATTTTATTATATATTTATTTATAACAAAATGCAGATTTTGATGTTTAAACCCTAAATTTACGATAAAAAATGCGAATTTTCAATGATTAAAATAATTAAGTTTTGTTAAATAATACAAAACATTATCTTTTTGACACTTTTTCTTGACATTCCTTTCTATAAAAGGAGTTGTAATATATTGGGCCATTCCTGTAAAGGTCAATGTAAGAAAGTTATCTTTGTAATTTTATTACGGTGACCTTTATAATTATCTTTATAATATTTATCCTTAGCTGATCACGCGAATATTAATCTCATATTTATTAAAATAGAATAATTCAGACGTTTTCATTTTCTCATAATTACTTTTACTTTCGTAATCATTAATAAAGTATAAAGACAACTTTCAAATTTCTTTTTTCAAAATATATATTTATAGTAATATTTTATCTGGAAAAATGCTCTCAATTAAAATATAGATTATTCTATCATTTCAATTGTTTTAAGTCAGTACGATTTGATTTATTTGGTTATCATAACACAGATAAACTAAATACATTTCTTTTATTACAAACGTTTTAAACAGATATTTCAGACGTTTTTTTTTTTTAGATAAAATATTTAAACCGGTTTCCTTAATCGGATCACCTAATAAAAAAATAAGTAACTGCTAATAACAATCCGCATGCATAATAACAATTTTGCTAGAGGATGTGTTACGAAGTTTTGCAGTCGAATAACATCAATATTGTGTGAATATAATGATAAGTAACGACAAAAATTTTACGATTATAATATTATTTGTCGTGTTATTAAATACTGAAAAAGCGTTTAATTCGGTTAAATATATAAAAAAGATGCGGCAAATCAGATAATTTTTTTAATGACTAAAAAACAGAAAAGAAAATTCCTCTCACGAAGATAAGTAATAATATTTGAAATTAGAAAAAAAAATCTTCTACATTGTCTTTTAAACAATCCAGTTGTGTATTGGAATGTGCAGGTAACACGAGTATAATATAGAGTTCCTTTTTATATAGAAACTTTAGGGTATTAGATGTGGCGCCATCTTACTTTTAACCGATTATTTATTTATTCCTTTCTATCATAATTATTGCTTTAAAATAAGGAATAAGCATAAAATATTTTCTCAAGGTTACTTTAATATATAAAAATTAATTACGATTAACAGTATTGTTCAGCAATGAATAGTTCTTGAAATTCTTTAAAGAAAGTACCAGTCGACCCCCCTATAACACTGTTGATTATTCCGTTTTATATGAATTTCATGTTGTACGAGTCACTTATATTTTACAAATACGTGAGCCGTTCACAGCCCGGCACACGTATTTGTAAAATCTAAGTGACTCGTACAATATGGAATTCATATAAAACGGAATAATCAACAGTGTTATAGGGGGGTCGACTTATATAGTATTATTATACCTATTAAAGTTGTTTTTTTTAATGTAATTACTTATTTTATAACAAACTATAAATTAAAGAAAATTTAGAGGAAAAAAATTTGTAAATTAGTAATAATATAAAATTTAAATGAAATTATCGCGTGCATTAATTAATTAAATGGTATTCAAATAAAGCATTTATTAAATGGATCTGTGTTGGATTCCCATCGAGGATAATGATTTATTTCTTTAACGAGTAACTCTGTAGTATCCAAGCATAAAGATAATTCATTTAAGGAAAAATTGCAACAAAAAAAGAAATCTTATTATTTCCGCAAGCATTAAATAAGCATAATTCTATGTTTTCGCACAATAAGTACGATTTTTCATTCGTCATTCGATATATTTTTTTTTCTAAATCCATTTAGAATCAATGGTGTCTGGATATCATTTTATCAGTTATTTATTATTTTTTGTAATCACAGAGATGCTAACGAAAGACATGACAAAAATATGTTGAAACGATTAAGTGACGATTAATTCAAAAACTCTGATAATATGAATACATCCCAATATATATATATAGGCTTATAATGTAAACACAGATTAAACTGTATAAACAAACTATACGAATTAAAGTTTGTATGTTTTTGAATAATTAAAAATTATGGGAAAATTTTATTTAATGAAATATAATGAATGTATGTAATAATAATTTTCAATATATTTATATGTAGATTCTATTTTATTAAAGAATATATTTTGGCATTTGAAAAGCGATTTTTCATTTTGATGGTATCACTAATAAACACAAAATTTAAAATCACAAAATTCTTATATTGATTTTGCCTACATTAAAAAGATTATTCAACTAAATTATTAATTACTGTGTTTTTTATTCTTTTGAATGCATTTTTTGAAGAAAAGTTTTCTTGTATACAGTGCTTCCGATGTTTCACTTTAGAAATGAATTGATTTACGACTCCATTATTAGGTACAAAAAATCTTCGGGCCAATACAAAATTGCAGTCTAAATTACCGTAAGAACAACGTTTTAACGTCGATAGGCTCAAGCGTGAATCTGTAGACGTATTCTTCAGTATAGCGGATAACTCTCTACTTTCACACTTTATAGGAGATTCTTCTATTGGCATCATTCACTCGACTTGCTGTAGTTGAAAATACCACAAAACGTTCCGAGATTTGGCTATTACGGTGGTCTATTATGTTACGTTCCATTGGTTCTTTAGTCTGTAAGAATCTTACATTCTGAATGTACTGTACAGTACGTTCGGCTTTAATCTAAACTTTGTTGTTTAATACTTCGTGAGAGAAACATTTTTCTCAGGAAACCTAGCGGTAAGGCTTTTTATAAATCCGGCCTGACTCACGCACCATTTTTAATTAATAGCTGTAATGCTAGTGTTGAATTTTAAGACAAAACGGGTGGTTGTTCTGCAGTTAATTACACAAACCATTCGAAATAGTTATTGGGTTTGTTATTATTTATTGTGTATGTGTATATAATAATTTTACCTTTAAATATATTATAGACATGTATTTTTTTATTAAATTTAATGACTATCATAAAATATAAGTCCATATGTATATTTATTTAACTCTTAATTTAACTAATTACTATGTTTTTTTTATGAAGTAGGTAATAAACTTTAATGAAATGATGTTTTATTATTGTGATCATAACTGAGGTAATTACAGTAGAGCGTCGTTTATCCGAATTAATTGGGGACTAGGGTGGTTCGGATAACTTACTTTTTCGGATAACGAATCATGTACGAAAAAATATATTAATTTATCCCATGTTGAAATTTTTCTCCGTTGCGTGTCGCTTCGCGTTGAATTTTCGTCGATGTTAAGACTAACGAAGACTATTGTATCGTTAAAAATTATTTTTTTATTTTATACAAACAAAATAAATATATTGAAAAATATAAAAACAATAAAAAATTATACTTCAGATGTTAATTTAGTATCAAAAACGTAAAATATTTGAATAACCCAAGAAATAGCCGAAGATTGCAGCGCCACAGCACTAGCGAAAATTTAAATTTGCCGACTGGAATGCTTTCGGATAACAGACGTTTCGGATAACCAGCTTTCGGATAAACGACGCTCTACTGTACTTCGATTGTATTGCATTTTTATTTTTATGTTATTATCTCAACCTATCCTTATTTAAATAATCGTGAACTACTAATGCTGATATTTATAACAAATGTCTTTATAAAACTTGTACTCGGGAAAACGAGAAATGTCTTTTTTCATCAAATATAAAAAAGTTGTACTGTTTATAGGTTGGTTATTAATAAACATATCGCTATCTTCGAAAAACTATAACATTAAATTTTGAAAATAACTTTGATACCTCTATGAAAGTAATAGCTTTGTATTATACATTTTAATTAACAGATATCCATGGTACTTTCAATACTTCACGCGCTGAGTGTTGGCCTAAAAATGGTGCGTAAATCAGCCTGGGTTCTAGGACCCCTACCTAGAGGGTTTTAATTAATTAACTAAGATGTTGTACTGTCGTACAGTCTTCCGTTGCAAAAGGGAAGTGATGCTATTTCAATTCAAATTTTTTTTTCCTGAAAGGAGTTAGATATATGACCGGCATGACTCTATAAATAACGAGAAAAGTATGATGTACAGACACTAAGTTACAAATTTGAGGTAGAAATCATATATTTTAAATTAAAAATACGTTTAAAAATTGCATCCGGCATTGTGACGATGTCACAATAAATATTTGCTCCTTAAATTTACATTATTTTATCCTATATTTTACTTTAACAAAATGATGAATTCTATATAATTATTAAAACCCTTAATATAAAACTTTTCTAAAGCTCGTTATTGTTGTTCACCTCTCATCTACGAGACAATATATATATATATATATATATATAACCCAAAATTAAATATAAGTTAAATATAATATAAAAGTTAAGTTAAATACAAATAAGGATGTATACCTTGACCTCTGGATGTACACACTTAAAGAGAATCATTTAGCAATTTTTGTTTATTCATTGTCTTATAATTTTATTTTTAATGAAGTAATCTTGTAATTTAAAATCTTCGGAATGCATTCTAATTATCAAACATAATTATCAAGTTTCCTTATAAAATAAATATAAATAAATACATGTAGGGACTATATTCAAAATAAAGAAAATTTATTTAATATTTTAGAATTACAGTAGTATATTTAAATCAAACTGGCATATTATTTAATTACGTTGCTTGTTTACAAAATATTTAGAGACTTTTGATTTATTGTATTGATATATCAGAGAAAGTAGTCGAAAAGAGCGGCGTGCCAAAACGAAAAAAATATTTTTAAGTAGA